TTTCTTTTATAGTATAAGAAGAGGATAACGCTAGTAATATCGCGAAGTATAGCTTAATTTTATAGTTCTTAAAGATATCTTTTAGTAAGAGGGACTAAGAAAGCTAAAAAATAGGTTTTAAGGAAGGAGCTAAAAGAAAGTATAAAAAGGAGGGTAAAGGTAAGAGGGGAAGTAAAAATAGTAATAGCTTCTTATAAAGGTAGTAAGAGATAAGATAGATATACTAGTAACGGTTAGAAAAGAGGGGAAAAACTAATAAAAAGCTTAGTAGTTAAAAGGATATTAATAGCTTCTTTAAGTAGGATCTTCTTTATTAATTAAGATACTAAATAAGTATAAAAAGGGGCGTTAGATAAAGTAAAGAAGGATAATTAAGGCAATATAATAATTATTCCCTTACTATAGTTACTACCCCTATAAAAATTAAATATCTTTACCTTACTTATTTAACCCCTTACTTTTAATTTTACCTTTATATATTTTATATATACTTCTTATATCTCTTTTTATAAGAGTTATAGGCCTAAAAGGAATAGAATTCCTATACCCTTTAGCTACTATAAAAGGCACCTTTTTTATATCCCTTATAGTATCCTTTTACCCCTCTTAATAAAAAAGCCGATTTTTAACTAACTTTTCTACCCCCCTCTTCTATAACGATATCGAAAAACGACTCCTCTACCGCCCCTATAATCTATAAGACGATTCTTATAAAGCCCTAAGATTAAGATAAGTAGGTAAAGGAGCTATAGGGTCGTATAAATAGAACTATCTATAATTTAGTCTTCTTTAATAAGTAGAACCCTCTTAAACCCCTTTTTTATCTTAAGGTAATAGAATTTATAAAGGGAGCTTCCTTTTTCTTTAAGCTAACCTTTATATAATAAAGAGCTTTTTCTACTATATTAGGTAACTATAAGAGTTACTATAAGGAATACCTTTATAAGATAAAGCTATTAACTACTACTTATATAGTAATAACGGAATCTATTAGTACTATAAAGCTAATCTCTCTTTAAGAGGAAGAGACTCTTAGGTAGTAGCTTTTAAAGCTCGAGACCTTAATAGCTCCCTTAAAGGGCTATATAACTAACTATATTAAGAAGACCTATATAGCCTACCTAAGAGCCTTTTTTACTAGGAACTTACTAGCTTTTTTATAGCTAGCTAAGTAAAAAGAAATCCTTAAGAAAGCTAACTAATACTTCTTAATAAAAGCTCTTTCTAGCTAGTAGCTATAGGATATATCTCTACTAATAAAGCCTATTAGTAATAGTTACTTAACTATCTTTTAAGAAGCTAGCTAAGAATTAAATAAAGAGGCTACTAATATATAATAATAAGTAGTATTATTCCTTTATAGCTAGTACTCGACCTAGATAGCTCGACCTATAGCCCTTATTACTACGGCCCTTACTACTACTACTATAGCTACTACCTCTTTAGCTCCTCCTCCCTTAAGAGCCTTAATACTATCTTTAATAGCTGCCTTAGTCCTAGCCCTAGCTCCGCCTATTACTTTAGGCCCGGCCCCGGCCCCGTTAGTTAGACCGGCCTAACTAGTCCCTTAATAGACCTTTTAGTCCGTTAGTCGAAAAATTAAGGAACGAGTTAAAATCGAACCTCTTTATTAAAATTAGTAATAAGGGGTAAAAAGGGGGGGTTTTAAGTAAACCTTTTAAAAAGGGATAAGGACTCCTTAAAGAGATAATAAATAAAAAGGAATCAACCTACCTACTAAGTATATAAAAGGCCCTATCGGCTAGAAGACTATTAGTAGGTCTTTAAGGAAATTCGACCTTTTAGAATTATACCTCTTAAGTCTTAAGGTATATAAGTAAAAGCGGAATTTTAGGAAATTAAGGATTTACGTAAGACTACGCAATAAAGAGGATAAAGGAGTATAAGGTAGGATTTTCAACGGAATTTATTAGTAGTATACTAGTATATAGAAGAGGTATAAAAGTTAATAATTCTCTTTCTATTTACTAGCGGATATACTATCTTATATAGATAATTATAGCTAAACGGAAGAACCTTTTAAGACTAGATTTAGGCTACTATATAGCCCTAATACTAAGGAATTTAGTAATACCTTAAGTATATTAAAGAGTATCTTAGTTCTATTAATATTTATATTTAAAGGAGGTTAGTTATACTAGTATTCTTAAGAGGTCTTAGCTAGTATTCTAAGCTAGCTCTATTTCTTCGACTCCTAATTATATAATAGCTAGCAACCCGTTTAATATATAATAATATATAAAATAATAAGCGACTCTTATTTTATAATATAGGATTTTATCTATAATTAATATACTACTTATTAGCTTATATAATTAGGAGAGTATATTATAGCTACTTTAATTATAGTAGGAATACCGTTCCTTATAGCCTCCCTTAAAGAATAGATTTATATACTCTTTACTAATTTATTTATAGTAGTATATATATAGGGTAAAAACCTAAATTTTAGGAAAACTATTATTATACCTTAATAGGATATATATAAAAACCTATTCTTTCTTAGGAAAAAGAAAATCCTTAGGTATATATTAATAGAAAAACCTATAATAGGAAAAATCTATATTTATAATAATTATTTATAGGATAACCTTATATAAGGTAAAATATATTATTACTAGGAAAATCTTAATATATAAAAACCTAGTAAATATTTCTCTAGGAAACCTAATAAAAGGAAAAACTTAGTAAAGGAAAGATATAGAAAGTATAAGAAATATCTAAAAACCCCTTTTAATTACTTAGGAACTTATTTTAAGGATAAACCGTCTTTAAATTTATAGAGTAATCTAAGTCTTAATTCCTTAGTAAAAGTAATAGCTATATTATCTTTTAATTTAATATAAAAAACTTTAATTTCCCTTTCTTTTATACTAGTTTTAGTATAGTAATAAGCTAATCTTATATACTTAAACCTTTTATAAAATTCCGAATTTTCTATTAATTTAATAGTAGTAGTATTATCCGTTAAAATAAGAGGTATAGTATTAAGAATCTTAATAAATAGATCCTTAGTAATATATTTAAAAAGTATATTTAAATAAATAGCTTCTTTATTTACCTCCCTAAGGCTAATATAATCTACTTTATAGGTAGAAAGGGCAATAGCTTTCTACTAAAAGTTCTTATAAAGAGAGATATAATAAGTATATATAAAATATATAAAGGAAAAATTAAAAGTAAGGGGTTAGATAGGTAGGGCAAAGATATATAATTCTTATAGGGGCAGTAATTATAGTAGGGGAATAATTATTATATTACCTTAATTATCCTTATTCCCTTTATTTAACGCCCTTCTTTATACCTATCTAGTATCTTAATTAATAAAGAAGATCCTACTTAAAGAAGCTATTAATATCCTTTTAACTATAAAGCTTTTTATTAGTTTTTCCCCTCCTTTTTAGCCGTTACCGATATATCCGTTTTATTTCTTACTACCTCTATAAGAAGCTATCGCTACTTATACTTCCCTTTATACCCCTACCCTCCTTTTTATACCTCTTTTTAGCTCCTTCTTTCTTCTTTTATACTAAGTGTTTTTAGCTTCCTTAGTCCCTCTTACTAAGGCATATCTCTAAGAACTACGAAATTAAGCTATGCTTTACGATATACCCCCTTAGCTATAGCTTACCCTTATAGTAAGGGTATAGCTAATACGGCTTCGGGCTAGTAAGCGTATAGAGGAGGTTCTTAGCTCTATACTTCTCCCTTTACCTAAGGAAAGCAAGGGCCCTTTTAGGTCCCTAGGCTCTTTTAGACCTAATTAAGGAATAAGGGCTTAAAGAGGGGAAAGTCCTATAAGAAAGGGGGCCTTCTTAGAAGGGAAAAACCTAATTAAATAAGGGGCCCTTTAAAGGGAAAAACCTCTTCCTTCTTCTTTAGCTATAAACGTTACCTTCTTATATAGGCTATTAGCTCTTCTTATAGACTTTTAAGGCGGGCTATTAAGGATAGCTTTTCTTAAACGTCTTCTAGCCTAATTTACTATAAAAGGATAGCTAGCTTTTACTTTAGTAAGGGCTTTATAAGACTATCGGCTTTTATTAATACTATTAGAACCTAACGGACTAAAATAAGTCCCCTTTAGACCTCTTAGCGTAACTAATACTAATAAATATTAATATACTATAGCTAGGTTAATAGCTTACTATTTTCCTCTATAAGAATTTATATACCATGCCCCACCCCCCTTTCGGTAACACCCACCTTTCGGTAGCGCAATTGAAAAATTCTCCACCAAAAGTCTACCATTTGAACTACATGAAATATGATCAGAACTTAACATTATAAACACCAAAAATATATCATTCCGTAGATCTGAAGCTGTCTCCACCTCTGAGACCGCCTCCTCCTCTGTGTCAGAATTCAGCACAACGGCTATCTCTTGGCTTTTAATTTGGGGAATGGCTTCCTCAGCCACCAAAGCTTCACTGAGAGTCATGAACCGTCTGTTCGGGTTCGGAATTGCTCTCCTCTTCTTGCCTCTCTGCAGCCGGGCCACTTCTTCCTCTAGCTTCGCGATTCTGTTGCTGTGCTCGGCAAGCGTCTGTTCTGGGCTTCAAAGCCTCTAGCTATCACGGCGTATCGTCTCCGGGTGCCAGGAGTCTTGTTCTTTCCGAAATCGCGAATCTGGCGGCTGTTTCTTGGCGTATCATCAGAACCCAAAATGGCGCGGACTTTGGAGACGTCTCTACAATGTCCGCGTGAATTTCTGGATGCCGCAATGCCTTGGATCGTGAGATCGGCCAATTCCCAGTGACCCTCCAGCCGGACAATATATTCTTTGCCGTCATTCCAACCTCGCGCGCTTTAGCATATGCCCGTATAAAATTGACCTTATGAACAGGCGCAGAATCGGTCAAACAGGTCAATTTCTGAAGTTCTTTCCGGTAAGCTGCCTTGGAGGCATTGAATACACCGTTATCTAACGGCTGGAGGCCATGAGCAGTGGGCAGGAAGGTAACAGCAATAAACGTTGTTCAAAAGCATGTGGCCATCCATGCATCCTGGTCTCGGTTAACAGTAATTCCTACAGAGGTGGATAAAGAAACGCACCGTTGCATGACTTCCATGTCCATCTAATATGATCAGTCTAGCATCTGAGGCATCGGCTGGTCGCGTCTGGGGCAAATAGACCCTCTCAAGCCACTCAATAGCGATATGGTTGTCCGTCCATCCGTTGGGCGACGTTATGTAATGCCAGTCGGCTATTTTGCCGAATTCCGTCAAGAACCACTGTTTCTGAAGCTCTTTGCCCTTAAAGATAATGCCAGGGTAAGGACACGGCCATCCGCGGTGATAGCTTCAATAAATGAGGTCCAGTTGCGGGACTGTGGCCCTTTCAGAAGGGCCTTCCGTTTTGGGTCTGCACTCCCAACCACAAGACTATCCAAACCTGGCAAAAGAGTCTGGTTAGTAAAAGTAATGAAAGACAAGCCAAATACTCACCAAAGCCAGACATAATACCGCCTTCGTCAACATTCACGGTATTTTCTGGTTTAATCCATCCATACTCCTTTTCCTGATATCGAAGAACCAGTGAACCGCCCGAGGCGTAAAAGCATTAAATCGGTTAGCTTCCTGACGTCTCCCACGCTTGTTCTTGATGTCCGGATGGCGATTGATGAATTTAGAGACCCAGTTGCGCCCCACTGTCCGCTCGTTGTTCAGTTGCTTTATAAGAGCCTCACACATGCGCGGATCTGACTGTGGAGGGAGCATAGCCGAGACTCTTGGCGGAGGATCCAAGAAACCAAGCGAGCTTCCTGAGACTTACTCAAGAGTTGACGAGGCTGGATCTGATCAGCCAGGGCTACCTGGCCTTTGAGTCTGTCGGAAATAGACTGCTGAGGTATGTCATACTTTTGGGCGGCGCGGTACTGCGACAAGCCGTTTTTTGTGACATCAATTATCGCATTAGCCATAATATCCTCCGTATAAATACTCCGAGGCCGCTTTAAGGTCATTTTGGTCATGTGGTGGAGGAATAACGAGAAGAATCATCGTCAGGAGGCGGAAGGAGATTAGGGGGTTGGATGGTAATTTCGCGTGCAAGGTACGCACAGGCCGCAGACCCCTGTACAAACATTCAACCATCGAAAAGTAGAATTCAATCAATCCACTATCTACTCCAAGTGACGGCTTGTGAATATCTTCAAAGCTGGCTGGAATCCGTGTAAGTGAAATTGATGGTTTTTGGTGGGGATATTTTCTAATGCGCTACCGAAAGGTGGGTGTTACCGAAAGGGGGGTGGGGCATGGTAGTCTATATATTATCGTATTCTATAGCTAATAGGGATAGAATTTATAGTTATAAAGATATTAGTAGCTAGCTAAGGAAAATCGCTTTTTTTAACGCTTTTAAAAGAGCTAGTAGCTCTACCTCTATATTAAAAGTTATAATAGTAGCTTATTTCGAAGCTCTTTAAGTAATAGTTCCTCTAAAAAGGGATATAATATACCCTTATAAGCTCTTTCTATCTAAGGAATTATCTATAAAGGATAAATCGCTTAAATAAAAGAAGATTTTAGTAGCTAATTTCTTTCTTTCTTACCCTCCTAAGTATAGACTATATAATCTTATTAAATAAAGATAAAGGATAGCTCTATCTACTACTTTTTAATACCTAGGGCTAGGATTTTAGTTATACTTAGTTATCTAAGAGACTATAAAAGAGATATCCGGTCTAGTAGAAATAAATTAAAAAAAGCAAGGAGCCTACCTATTAATATTAGTATTTTTCTTACTCCCTAGCTTATAAGGATAGATTAAGTAAAATCTCTTTATTTAATATAAGTATAGAGGGAAGCTTCTTATTAAGGGAATTAAGGAGGAATTTAAAAGCGACCCTATCGATATAGGCGTCTTAGGTAAGCTAGATAGTCCGTTAAGACCTATTCTAAAGGATTTATATCCCTAGGAACTACTTTAGCTCCCTTAGCTTAGTTATCTTATACCTTTATTATAGGCCTTATATAGCTTCCTTAAAAGTAACTTCTTTCTCTTTTAGGTAAGCTTAGATAATATTATCGATATAGAAAAAGACCGTAATTTTACCCTTCTATATTATATATAGTTCCTAAGGGACTTTCTTAAAGCCTAGGGATTTAAGGCAACCTATTAAATACTATTACTAAAGAAAGGGTAATCTTTATAGTCTATATAAAGCTTTCCTAAGCTATAGAACCTTTCCTAGCTATTAAAAGCTTAGTAAAAGGCATATATAAATAACTTCTTTTTCCTTAAGTAAGTAGTTAATAAAGGCGTTAACTATATCTATTTAATTAAGTTTAAGGTCGAATTCTACTACTATAGCTATAAGGGTTTAAAAAGATATCCTTACTATAGTAGTTACCTTAGTAAGAAGATCCCCTTTTTCCTACTAGTTCCTATATATAACTAGCCTAGCCTTATACTTTTAAAGGAAGCTATATTTATTAGTCTTATAAATAAAGTCCTACTTATAGCTAAGGACTTATTTTCTTCTTACCCTTTCCTTAAGAACCTCTTTAAAAGACCCTATCTCTTTATATAAGGCTATATAGTCTTTCTAGGCCTAGAAAAACTAGTCTTTAAAGGGGTGTTTTTCTAGCTACTTTTAATTTACTAGTAGGTCTAGGAGGTCTCTTTTATATACCTTCCTTACTAATAGCTATAACTTAAAGAGCTAGCCTATTATAAACGCTCTATAAGAACCGTCTTTTATTAGTATTAAGTAAAAGTTAGAAAAACAATTAAAATAAGGGAGAAATTAGTCTTCTTTAGTATTAGGCCCTATACCTTCCTTTACTTCTTAAAGTAGGCATAGAAAGGTAGCTAGGTAATCCTTTAAGAGAGGTGCCTTTCCTACCCCCTTAAGGGTCGAGATAGGAAGACTAATAGAAAAAGCTACTTTTAGATCTTCTTCTTATATAGTAGGAGGCATAGGGAGGTAGGCGTAATCTAGCTTTACCGCTTTCCTATAGTCTCCTTCTTTATTTAGATTATTTAATTTAGTAGCTTCCTCTTTTTCTTTAAAGTTAGCGTTATCCTCGACTACTTTAATATTAGTTTCTTCTTCTATTTCCTTATCTAGGACCTCTTCTTATATCTATTAAAAAGGGGGGATTTAGATCTTTTAAATTAGCTAACGTTATAAGAGTAAGAGGGGCTATTAATCCCTCTTTCTATTAAAGAAGCTAGATTTATCGAAAATTATATCCTAAGTCGAAATAACCTTCTATAAAAGAAGAATCTAGATCTAAAAGATATTTATAAAATTATAACTAATAAGGTAACTAATAAAGGCTCTAAGATTAAGCTTTCTTTTCTTTTTTCTTTTTAGCTATATATCGGTAGTTTTTACGTATACCTTATAGCTATAGGTATAAAGGTAGGCTAGCGAGGCCCTCTTTTTTATAAAGAGCTCGAGGGGTAATTTCTAGTCTATTCCTTAGGTCTTAATAAGGGTCTTTAGGTCCCTATAGTCCCTTAGGCTCCTAAGGTCCCTTAGGGTCTAGTTCTAAAGGTAATAGGCGGTCTTAACGACTTCCCTTTAAAGGTTATAGGGAAGCTTTATAGTAAGTCTTATTATATAGGCCCTTTTTATTATAGTAACCCCTTAATCTCTCTACCCCTCTATTTTAGGCCTAGGTATTCGGTGCTAATAAGAAGGGTAAAATACTTCTTTTTCGAAGCTAATTTAAGATATCCTTTATAAATAGCTCTCTATTAGACCGTATCTTCTTTACCTTATAGCTAAAGTAGGATTTTATCTAGTTAACGAATTCCTAGAGGGTAGACTAGTTATACTTACTTAGGTAGGTCTATAAGAAATAAGGGAAAACTATCCTTAAAAAAGCATCTATAAAATTTATTACCTTAATAAAGCTTTCTTAATCCTTAGAGATATTAGTCTAGTTAACCTAAATTTCTTTATATAGCTAGTCCGGCCGTAAAGGGGTTCGTCTAGAAATTTATCTCTTAGTCTTTCCTTAGCTATAGTATTTATATTCGATAGTTTTTAGGCCCCTTATTTATACTCCTTATTATTAGCCTAGCTTATATAAAGCTAAGGGGCCTTAGTAACTAAGTTATATATACTAAAGAAGGCCGTCTCCTTAAGCTACTAAAAGAGGGTCCTTAGAACCTACCCTCCTTTAAGTAAGGAAAGCTAATTTCTTAAGAGATTCCTTCCTAAAGATAGGTTAGAATTTAAGAATAAATTAACCGAATTTTCCCTTAATAAGCCTAATAGTCTAATTCTTCTAGACTAGCTTTATAGGCTTAGACGTCGTATCCTAGAAGATTCCTTCCCCTTAAAGAAAGCGGAAGAAAATTAAGCTTATTAAAAATTAAAGGTAAAAAGCTACCCTTTTTTATTAAAGAATTTATATAGACCTATTAGGTAATTCTATCGTGAAATTTACCCTTCTATATCCCTCTATCTATATAGATAATTCCCTAGTAATAAGATATACCCTTCGTGCTTTCTTAAAGGACTAGAATCGTAAGAGTATATTATAGATATCGAGGGAAGTACTAAAGTTAAGGATAGCTAATTTTTATTAGGGATAGTTAGAGGGTCCTAACGGTTAGTCTTAGCCTTATTAATCTATAAAGAAGATAAAGGCCGGATTTACTATACTAACGATTTTTCCTTAAATTTATAGCTTAAATAAAAGCAGCGGCGTTATTAGTTACTATTTCTTAGTAACCTAAATCTTATCTATCTTCTTTTATAATAAGGGGTCCTCCTTAAGAGACTATTATATCGTTTCTTATAGCCTCTTTAAAGGGTTAACTTCTTTAAGTCGGTTTTCCTTAAAGACCTACTAGTAGTCTTCTAGTTAATAGGGCTTTTTATATACTTAGTAGGTAGGTCGATTCCTCCTTATACGTTATTTCTTTTAGGAGTCCTTATCCCTTTTTAGAAGGTCTACTTAAAAACCCCCCCTTTTTACCCCTTATTACTAATTATAACGAAGAGGTTCGATTTCGATTAGTTCCTTAATTTTTCGACTAATAGACTAAAAGGTCTATTAAGGGACTAGTCGGGCCGGTCTAACTAACGGGACCGGGCCTATAGTAGAAGGCGGAGCCGGGACCGGGACTAAGGCAGCCGTTAAAGATATAGTTGAGGCTCTCGAGGGAGGAGGAGCTAAAGGAGTAATAGCTATAATAGTAAGGGCCTTAATAATAAGGGCTATAGCAGCTATAAGGGCAGTAGGTCGAGCCGTCTAAGTTAAGTGCTAGCTATAAAGGAATAAGACTACTTACTATTATACTTTAATATCTTCTTTATTTAGTTCCTAGCTAGCCTCTTAAAAGATAGTTAAGTAACTATTACTAATAGGCTTTATTAGTAGAGATATATTCTATAGCTACTAGCTAGAAAGAGCTTTTATAAGTAAGTATTAGTTAGCTTCCTTAAGGATTTCTTCTTACTTAGCTAGCTATAAAGAAGCTAGTAAGTTCCTAGT